AAAATCAACTATTTTTTTGTATAATGATGCGCCTGATAATTTTTAATTTTGTTATTTTAGTCTTTTTAATGTTGCTAATTAAAATATTTTCCTAAATAACAATACTTTATATTGTTATTTTATTTTTATCTCAAAATGATGGAGAAAAGATCAAATTATACAAGATATTATAATAAAAAAAAAAGAATATTTGATAAGGTTATACAATAATAAACGAAATACTGATACATAATAATTCTGTAATACAATAAACTGTAATACTAATAAACAATTTATCAACTGAAATTAAATACTTGATAAAGTTTAACCAGTATTGTTTAATCGCAATTTTCTCAAAGAGCTGATTTTTATTTTTCTAAACTTCTTAATGCGCAATAAGCGCATCAGTGAACCAAAACTAAAATTAATTACCCGTTTCAAAAATATATTTATGATAATGAAACCTTATATGTTTCCTTACTTTGAATCTGAGTTCTCCAATCGGCGGTTTCGCATAAGGTATTCCTCGAAAGGCGATGTACTTGTCGCCGTAAACACCTTTTTCTACAACTCCAATTAACTTTCCCTCCTGCACGCATATTTCGACTTTGTTGTCCATGATGAACGAACGTCCACTGAAAAAACGACGAAGTGTTTCTATCTATATATAGTTGAGGTGTAGATGTGTGTGACTCTATGTGTACGCTAATCACTCTTACAGTTACAGATAAAAATTATTATAGATAAGAACAAAATTAGAAACATATTTACTAGCTCGTGTTTAAAAATATGTAAAGAATTTAGACTCGGCCAAGGAATGAGCAACGCGTGTGATGTGATATGAAATCACACTAAGCATAATATTATAAAAATTATAAATTTAATTTAAAGAAAATTTAATGTCAAAACTTTTCAACTGCACGGAGTCTTCCTCAGTTGATATAAATTAACATATAAATAAAAACCATCAATAAATCAAATTAAACATTAACATAAATTAATAAAAATCCATGGGAACAATTTAGTCAATAATAAAAAACGGAAAACCTAAAACAATGAACGCTATGTTAGTCGCATATTAAACTCGCAATTATTCGTTC